CTTATGACGAGCTTATGGATGCATATGAGGAAATTAGAGTTTAATTTGAAAAAATATGCTCAAAATACATAGCTCTCAAAAAGAAATATTCTAGCATGTCTAATGAGATTAAATCTTTAAAAGATGAAATAGATGCTTTGAATGTTGAAAATAATTCGTTGGTTGAAGAAAATGCATGCTTGAAAAATAATGTCAATGATGTTGACACATGATGTAATTGAAATTTCATGTGATGAGAAGTTTGCTTTATTAGATAAAATTAAATTTCTCGAGCAAGATATTTTTGATAGAGATGAACTTGTTAAAGCTCTTAGAGAAAAATAGTCAAATCTTGTAAATGAACTTGAATGTGCTAAAGACAAAGCATTAAGAAGTTGACAATAGGTGCACAAAAATTAGATAAAATTTGAAATTGGCAAATCTTATAATGATAAAACAATTTTTGTGAAAGCTTCCTCTAATGTGCATAATGAAAATTTGTCTAATGTTGAGCCAAAGTGTGATGTGCATAAGCATGATGTACCTAAATTTGTGCCTAATCATTTGCTATATCTAAATTTGTGCATAATACTAAATTTGTGTCTATATGTCATTATTGTGGAGTTAAAGGTCATATTAGACCAAATTGCTATAAATTGAAAAATGCTCCTAATTTTTATGGAAAAATAAATTTCTCCCGTAGAAAAAAATTATTTGGTGCTTATAGAAAGAATTATTATATGAAAAAGAATGGAAATAAATTTTTTTTGTAAGAGAAAAATTCATGTATAATATCTTATGTTTTTCTTGTGGCAAGTTTGGACATAAATCTTCTTGTTATTTTCCCAAATTGAATGTTATGCAAAATGGAACTAAAAAGAAATGAGTTCCAAAAATTAATTGTACTAACCTACATGGACCTAAGAATGTATGGATACCAAAATCTTCTTGAAAATCTTTTGTAGGATGGGTCCAAAATTCAAATTTGAATGCTTGCTTGGTTCAAAAAGTAAATTATCACAAAGTCAACTCTATGTCTCCTTTTGGTGTTTCAAATGGAAAATCACCTTATTTGGTAACTTTATTTATCTCAAAATGAGCATTGACTATTTTTATACATTGTAATATTGAAAATATTAGTGTGATATTTGTTTGTTATTATTGGAGCCTAAGCTAAAATTTGATAATAAATTTGTTTGATTACGTTAATTGGAGTAGTTTGTTTTGTAGTAATGATTAGAAGTATTGATTTCTTTGTGGAATAACTATTGTTGAACTTAGTAGTTGTTATGTGATATAAAAGTGGAAGAAATTATTTGTTTTGTCTGAAATTTTATAAAAAACCCTCTATATTTAATAATTTTTTTAATGGTTTAATTATTTTTTAATAGGGGGAGTTCTAATGGTTTATTTGTTTAATTTTTTTTAAATCCTATCGGTTGATTAATGAAATTATTGTTTTCATTGCTTAAAATTGATGCATGTTTTTATCTCAACAAATTTGTTTATTTTTAGAACATTGGTATTTTTAACAATTGGTATAATTGGATTGAAATTGATATATCTTTGATTGGAACATTTTGGTATCCATTTTAGGACATTGTCTTGAGTTTCTATCATTTGGTATGTCCATGGAAATTTGTGTTTTGGTACGAAGAGCTTAAATTTGTTTAAATTTTATCTATTGAAGTTGGTATCTTTGGGTTAATATATTTATTTGAGTTATTGAATGATATTTGCATTTTAGAATTATTATTAAATTCTTGAAACTATCTTTTTATATATTTTGGAGTATGCTTAATTTTAGGGGGAGTAATGTCTTTTGAAAAATATGAAGATTTGATTGTTAGTCTTCTTAATTTTTTTTTTTTTGAAGAAAATTTGAAGCTTTCTATAGAAACTTTGGTGCTAAATTATTTGAAAATTTATTATATCGCCTTGGTGAATTTATTACATTATTTATTTATTTAGGAGGAGTCTCATGTGTTACCTTTTGGTAATGAAATACTTATTGATTTATGTTGATTGCATCTTTTTATTGAAAGTGAACTTTTGAATTTATATGTTTTGATGATTTGTGCTTGTTAGAAATGGTATTAAAATGATATGAAAATATTCTTATCCTTTTTTATTGATTCCAAAAGGGTGAGAAAGTAGGAGAAAAATGAAATTATATTATTGAATATATTTCTTATGCCACTTTGAATATATTTTTCTGAGGTGGTTTGTCATCATAAAAAAATGGGAGATTGTTGGCTTTTCGAGCTTCAATCATATCATATGTTTTGATGATAACAAACTTAATCTACTGATGATTTTGGTGTTTCAAAGTATCCATAATGTAGAGCTTGAAAAGACGAATCCAACACAGTTTGAATGGTTCAAATCGGAGTTTAAATGAAGAAGTTATGATCGAAATAAGTCGAACGAAAAATACCCGAGAAGATGACGTAGGCGAATCATATGCTGGCACATGGCGAGCTCAATTATTAAAAAAAAAAAGAAGAAGAAGAAAAAAGTGAAAATGAAAATGAAAAGAAATTGAAAAATGAAGTGAAAAAAAAAAGTAACCGTCTGGAAAAAAAAGAGTAACCATTACTCATGTAATATATATATATATATTTTATTTTATAATATGTTATTATTATATATTTATTATAATATAATGAATCATTACTTTTTAGAATTCAATCTTGACCCTCCTTCGATCCTTATCGAAGGATCCAATTTTGATTTTATTTTCAAATCAATTTTCCATCACTTTCTTCCCCTATTTAAATCCATCTCCTCCCCCACTTTTAAATACCAATTTTCTTATTTTTCAAATCCTCTATAATCCATTGTTACCCTCTCCAAGTTCTCAATTCTACTTCAATTTTTTTAGAGATTTTCTTGTTGTGGATTGATGTATTTGTGAGCTTAAACTTGTAAATCTACTCTATTGGAGAGTTTTAGTGTGTGAAAAAAATCTTATTTCCACACTTATTTGGGTTTCGTTCTTGAGCCCGGTAAAAGGAACGAAGTGTGGGTTTCGATCTTTGTCCCAAGAAAAAGGTTGGGTTTAGTTATAGATCCCGTAAAAAGAGCGGTTTGTAAGGTTTGGTCTTGATCCCGCAAAAGGACCGGGTTTCCGATCTTGAACCCGTAAAAGGATCGTGCTTAGTGGAAAATATTGACAGGTGCTTGGGGAGTGGAGTAGGCCGAGGATTTGCCAAACCACTATAAATCTCTTGCGTGACGTTTTCTCTATCCCTTACTTTTTTATTTATTGTAATTTATCTTTTAAGTATATTTTCTTTTATTGCAAATATATATTGTGTTTATCTTGAATATCTGTTTCATGATATTTTGAGTTGCTATAAATATTGCATAAATTGTTTTTGTTTAAAAAGTTTACTTAGTTATTTGATTTATGCTTAAATTTGAAAAAGTTTAGTAAATTGATCTTCAACACTATTCACCCTCTAGTGTTGTCATACCGATCCAACAAACTCCACGAAATATAATTTCTCCGAAAATCTCGTGTGAACACACGCAAAATTGATGTCAGCAAGTGGTTAGATAACATAGTTTTGGAAAGTGGGCCTTTCAAAATGACTACTTTTGCCAAAACCCCAAACTTTCTGGCCATTATTTAAAGGTGACTAGAATTTTATTTTTTAATACCAAAAACAATTTTACCCTTCCTTTTAAAACTGACTCAAATATATACCTAATAAATCGTTACACAATTAAATTAGAGGCAAAATGGATGTCGAAACCAAAGTTCAAAATGTCGATGTCGATGGATATTTCTGGAAAAATTACAAAAATAGTGGATATTGATGCAACATTTTTAAATTAGTAAATAAGACTTTAGTTATAGTTTAATTAGCCTGTACTAATCACTTTTTAACCATAGTACCTAAATATATAAGTAATATACTTATGAAAATGTCGTCGTGATGAAAATGTCGAAACAAAATCATGTATACATATACGAAAATTATTTGAATTATTAAATTAAAGTTTAATGTTACTTTTTTATTGATAATTTTTAATCCAATCTAGTTATATAATTGAACAAAATATGTAAAATATAGATATATAAAGTATTAAATAATTTTTAAAAAATTAGATTTAGTTTAAAATTTAAATGTTTAATAATCATTAGTTAAATTGATTTTATTTTATATTGTTTGTTTCTGATTGGTTAAATTTAATTTAAATCTTGTTTTTCTCTTAAATAAATTATTTTTAACATTTTGTTATATTTTTTAGTTAAATTTAATTTAAATTTTGTTTTTTTAAATCCATTATCTTTTTTTTAAGTTTTTGTTATATATTTTCTAGTTACATTTAATTTAATGTTTGTTTGTTTTTTAACTAAAAAGATAAGAATTTAACTTTAGTTTCTTTAAAACAAACAGAAAAAACGTTCAATGTCGTATAATGTTTTACTATTATTTTCGACTTTTCTTATTGTTTTTCCACAAGCTTTGAATTTACAGAAATTTGAAAATATGTTTTGAATAGGAATTTTTTTTTTTAAGGTTTGGATTCAAAATTTTCGATGTAGATTTTTTCTTGAAAAACAACATATCTTACTCTAAGTCTCAACTAACTAGAAGGCTATCATGGATCCAGATTTTCTCAACCGTGATTCAATGCAAAAAAAAAAATGACATTTTGTCGACATGTAGATATTTCCTTGACATGTCGATATGTCGATGACATTGGGGAAAAACAATTTTCTCCTCCATGTCGACGTCGAGACTGTCGACACGTCGACATGTCGCTCGACTTGAACGAAATTTTGAAGAATGGTCATAACCAAGCTAGAACTTTGAGCTTGGCCTGAAAAAGGTTTGGTCATTTTTCAATCTAAAGGTATAATAAATAGGGACCATTTTCCTTAAAATTGGAAAAACTAGATTTGTAATTTTTTTTAATTGCAATAAATTTGTAAAATTTTGCTTCTATTTTATTTATTAAAAATAGGAACCCAAGTGCTTTTCAATGTGTCAGCAAACAATTGAAAGTATCACAAACTGCAACTGCATATTTGTGTAATCCAATGTAGTTCCATAATGGCTATCAAAACAAACCAACCAATCATTAATGTTAAATCCAAAATCCAAAATCCAAAATCCAAAATTCAAGCTCTCTCTACAACTCTATCTCTATAGACTATAACATCTAAACCTGAAATGTACATCAGCCGCTTGGACAGTGATCGGGAAGAACCCCATGAAGTCAACCGCTCTAATTCTTCATGCAAAGGCAAGGCCAGATCAGTCTCCTCCTTCTAAACCTTTCCTCCTCTGCCAGACATCGAATTTGAAATCCTACAACCGAGGACTCTGTGAAATGGGAACAATTTATACTGATGGATAATACTTATGTGTCAACTGGAACTCGAAGATCATCGTCAAGGCTGGGCGGAGATAATGGTGGGATAGCTGAGAGGTCAGAAAAATCGTCCAGAATTTCCAGGACCCTTCTGCCAGTTGCTTGAGAATCCCCCCTATTAATACCGAACTTTCGAGAAGATATAACTCCGGAGTCAATTGGTCTAGAAGAGTTGCTACTCTCAACAGATGATAAGAATTGATCTTTGGCCAGTGTATTCTGAACAGCAGATGAGATAACAGAACTAAAGATGCCAGAATTCCTCAATCCTTCAATAATGACCTGTAGATAGAATACATAACATTTGAGTTTCTCTTGCAACCATGCGTTTTATCTACGCAAAATGATTGGTCATTCAGAGTTATATACTTGAAACAAGAAAGATTTAGTTCAACTCACCATAGGTGCATAAATCCGAGTCAGAATACCCTTCCTTAAAAGTTTCAAGTTCAGTGTTTTATCAGTCCAGACAATTCGTTCACGATACCTAAAACACAACAGGAACATATTAAAACCCATGATTCATGTGAATCTTAAGGCTCGAGTCTTAAACCATCTCCCAGTCATAAGCAAGAAATTATGTCTAGCAAGTTGAAAGAGGACATAATGAGACAGTAGGGAAGAATGCTTGGTATGAGAGCTCACAAGTCACAACTATTATCTCAGGAATGCTTTTTCCAGTGACAAATGTTCAGAAAAAAGCATTCAAAAAGAACCTGGAGGTCAACTAGTCATTAGAAATGAGACACTAGAAAACAAACTGAAAACTCAAGTTATACGTCCTTGATATCATTGCGGAATTTCCAGAAGAAAAAGTTAGAAGCATCCAATACCATTGAGTAAAGGCTTCTCATTAAAATCTAAGGTAGGCATCTGATGACTCATTCGTGACATTTGACATCATAAGCTTTATCATTTCTTTTTGGTTCTTCTATATATACAACCCATGAGACCTTATTATATCTAGTCAATAATATGGAGATTAAAGTTATAATAACTGCAAAATAACTACCAGCGAAGCATTTCTTCCTCTGTTGCAGTTGAAGCAATTATGAATGCCTGTAAAGAACAGTGTGATAAAGATGTCAAAGAAAATTTCACCGTATGTAATCTAACAAAGAGATACAATAATGATTTAATGAACAATTTCACTAATTACAATTATACGTACACATAGTGAGCCAAATGGTCTCAAATTTCTTTATATATACATGTGCCTCATTTTTAATCCATATGTCAGAAATACATGCTGCATACCGTAGCACTAACTACTCTCATTTATGATGAAAATCAGGTACATGTTAATGATAAAACCACATTTGCAAAGACCCAAAAATGCATATGTAAAAACAAGCTATAAAGTATTTGTTGCAAGGAAGAGAGTGCTTCCAGCTACTATTCCATACTTGAGGCTTCCTATAGCATTTTGTTTTCCTAACTATTGACAAGTTAGTCTCCTTGCTAAATGGGATGGAGATTTATGGATGGAAATCTCAAAAGAAGAAACATTAGCCTCCTCGCTAAATTGGGATGGAGATTTATGGATGGAGAAACATTCTTTATTAAGGGCGACCATTACCAGTAAATACAGCTCTCAAAGGGGGCCTTTAAACTATAAGGCTCCATGAACTTCGAAGGGCCATGCAGATCCATCGTCAGCATTGCAGCCTTGTGGATGCATTGTACAAGTTGAAGCTTCGGAGGGAGTAAAATTCTATTTTTGGAGGATTTTTGGATAGAAGAGGCCATGCTTAAATCCTCATTTCCGAAACTATACAATGTGGTCAACTCCATGGGAGCAAGTGTGAGCCACTGTTGGACAGAGACTTCTAACAGTTGAAACTTACTTTCTAGAAGGAAACCTCGCCGATTTAGAAAGCATGATCAAGTTGCTTGATATCTTAGGCCTTATTAGGCCTTCTACGGAAGAGGATGTTAAAAGGTGGACTCTCCCCAGCAGTGGTTGCTACACGGAAAAACCCCCTGTCCCTGCTCTTACGAGTCCTCATGCTCCTTTTGACCATGCCATGGTTGAGATCATTTGGAAGGCAGATATTCCCAAACAGGTAAAGGTCTTTCGTTGGGTGTTCATCCAAGGAAAGTTGAATACATGTGACTTGTTGCAAACAAAATGACCAAAATGTTCCCTCTCACTGAATTGGTGTGTTATGTGTAATCGAGATTTGGAGGACCGCCATCACCTTTTATTCCAGTGCACCTATGCTGCTGCCATTTGGTCTAAAATCTTTGGCCTATTTGGTATAACTTGGTGCTTCCTCAACAATTGCAGTGTGACCCTTAATAAACAGTGCTCCATTTAAGGGGTGGGGTAGATCTCTTTGGTCCAACATGGTTATGGCTTCGCAATCGAAAATCTGCTTTAAGAGAAACCAGAGGGTTTTCAAAGAGAGGTTTTCTTGTCTCGAGGATTTGAGAGTGGGAATCAATTAGATTCTTTGCCTCCATCTTAAATTTCTCTGAACTTTTTTGTAATTATGATCTTTATACATATTACGGCCAACTTCGAATCCTTTTTGTAACCCTTGGCATTGCAGGATCATCTCCCACTTTTTGTCTGAGCTTCCTTCTATGATCATATCAAAATAAATAAAAAATAAATAAAAAAAAAAGGTAATTCAGAAGGATAGATCCTGACCCTTTGAATTTTTTAGTCTCGGTATTATGACTTTGAACCAGACCTATCAGAGAAACATGGATATGGACAGTGGACAAGATGCAACATAGGTACACATATATCATTTTCGAACAAACTAGCATAGGAACACATTTATTGATATATACAATTATTTTTTCAACTCGTTTCAACAACTTTCACATAAAGTTTCCACCTAACAGCCTCAAGATTTCGAGGTCTTTATGAGGGAAGAACCCAACCTTTTCTCTCCGGCTTATTTGGTACAGTACAGTCTTTGTGCATCTAAGAGTGAAATAAGTAACCATATATTCCTTAATTGTTAATTACACTCATCATATCTGGTGGAATTTATTACAGGATCTTTTGCCGATCTATAACTCTTAAGGATGGCTCTCAAAGCTCAATCTCTCACCTTTATAGGGGCTTCTTTGATTTAATGTGATGCGAGCAATTATCTGGAATATTTGGCAAGAAAGAAACACAAGGATCTTTAAGGTCATTTTAAACTGTGGGAGGAAGTGTAGGAACAATTATCTATTAGGCTTCTCTTTATAGCACTAATCCCAAATTTTTTTGGTAATTACTCCCGTTCAATTTCTTTCACTGGAATGTGTTTTTGTAGTCCCCTAGAAGCTTTTGTAAATTTCATCTCATCAATGAAACTTCGTCTTTTGTAAATATAAACAAATCTTTTCTTTTATAATTACATATAAATACAAATCTAGAGTGAGCTATATACAAAAGTGTTAAGACTTAAAAAGAAACAACAAAAGAAGTTGGTGGAGCACAATTAGCAGTTGCAATGGCTTAAACTAGAATGATAAAACAGTAAAAAGGTAAAAAGGTAAACAAAAAAACAGAGGGTAATGGAACTCACAGCTCTATCAAATTCTAACATAAAGCATCTTTTAACATCCTCTTTTGTTGGTTTGCAGCCACATCGATCGCGTCTTGAAGTCAAATCAGAAAATTTAGGGTATGTGTAATGTAGAACAGCAGCTTCGTCCAACTTGATCTCACTACCAATTGTGAAATATATATGCACCAAGTACAAATAAATGATCAATATAGATCAGAAATTGTTAAAGATGATGTCCTAGTTTTAACCTACTAAAGGCATGATAGAAGGAATTAATGCATTTAGTGAAAACAAAGAGGAAAAAGATTCCCATGGATCCAAGTAACGGTCAGCTTTACTGCTTAATTAAAAATATGCTGACATAAAAGCACTTTAAGATAAAAATATGTGCACAGCAAATAGATGAAGTAATATATACTTGGGAGTCTTCATGTAATTGTGCCATCGATGTGCCCCATTTGGACGAAGATGATCTCGAACCCGAGCAGCTGATTTTCCATTTCCATATGTCAAGAAATAGTTTGGATTGCCACGGGTTGCATCTTTATAATTACCGAAGTATACATCTTTTGGGAGATGGTCATAATTCTTTTTAAACATCGATACCTGAACAAGCATAAAGGAGTACAGAAAAAACTTAGTCAGGTTCAACCACAAATAGTTTAGCAGCCCTAGCCCATCATATTAGTTCTACCAAGACTCTTTTCTGTTTCAGATAGAGTATACAAACTAAAATGTCTTATTACAGGCTAAACAGAAGAACGAATATCATTTAAAGGTAAATCACAGAAAATGGTAACAGGAAGCAAATATTGTAATGAAACTAGATCTGAATCCATGTATGTTTAATTAGTCACAAAGATGAGCCTCTGCTTCTTTAAAATTTCAGAGAAAGAGTGTGATAGAATACTAAGGGGGGAAAGCATAATGGGATGTTTGTGTGTTTTCTGAAAATAATTTTTTCAGTGATTTGAAAAAAGGTTCAGAGAAACTCTATAACTAAGTTGTTTCCTGTGTGAAAATAAACCTTTTTTGAAGAAATGGAAAACTAATGAAATGATTACATTAAATTCAAACAGGCCCTTACAATTTACAAGTTCAGTACCATGTAACTACATAAACTTAGAACTAAAAAAAAAAAGGTTACATAAGCTTGCATTTCTTTTTAATAACTGTTAGGCAATTTAATTAATAGAAAATTTCTGAGTCCACGTTGCATTACAATAATATTTTATTAGTTAAACCCTTGCTGGATAGCTTTGACCAAAATATATGAAAGAAATTATACCTCGCTGAAAGGTTCCTTTACATCATCTCGCTCAACACTGCTCTCCTGAAACAAAATACAACCAATATATCCTCCAACATCAACGACAACTTAAATTAAAGAGATTAAGTTCATGTAGTTAGCACCAAAGTGAAGGCATTCGATGAGACAATCACATGGAACAATCTTGAAGAAAACTTTAAGAACTTGCTTCACTCACATAATTTGGAAAAATAACCATATCAACATTTGCAGGCACGTCAGCAAGCAATTGTCTTAATGAGTACTCTCGTGTACCCGCAGGGTGCATCAGTTCATCAGTATCCAGATGGATGATCCAATCCATACCAGCACTCTGTTCAATAAAAAATCAAATATCTAGATAGAAAAAGTTTACAAATTAAGGAGCTATGTCGATGTCCAGGACAGACTACAGAGAAAAAAGTCCAATACCCTTGCCATGACAATAGCCATTTCCATGTTCAGAGACTGTTTCACGAACAATTCATAATTACATGGTTTGTAGAAGAAGCTTGCCAACCATGTCTCATTCCAAATCCGACTAAAATTCAACCAAAAAAAAAAAATAGTCAGTTAATAAAAAGAATCAAAGATTATCCTTTCTGAAAAAACAAGCGTTACAAAAGAGAATTCATAAGCAAAAAGATGAAGGATCTCCATGGAGCCACACAACAAAGGAAACAAAGGGCTCTCTATTCTTTTTATTTATTTTTCTGTGTGCAGACCCAAGAGTATATTTTGGTGGGTGATGACGTAGAGAGGATAATTTAGCTTCCTCAATGAGCTTGCGAAAAGATTAATCTGGCTCAGGATTTGAAAATAAAGATAAAAAATTACAGATCAATCGTTAAAGGCAATAAACAGGGAAGGGAAGGTTAGTCACATCTCAAATAAAAAATTTACTGACCTTTTTGCTTGCTGCTCTTCTAGCTCTCTTGTTCTGTATATAACTTTCACTCCCTGAAAACCAGTAGTTTTTACTTGAAGATGTCGACACCCAAATACAAGAGATATAAATCAATTAACATAGAGTTAACAGTGTGAAGGCACATCACAGGACATGGCTCACCGGAATGGATTCCAAGACTTTGGATACATTTGGGGAGGCAGCCTTCCCTTCCACAAACAGCAAAAAGTTTGAAACTCCAATAACCTTGTGATAAAAGATCCAGGGTAAAGTCTGCTCTAAACCAGCAGAAGTGCTTGTCGTAACGCATATCTGATAGGTAGAAGGTTGACGAAATTCATGAATACATAATACACATTCATTTGGGTCAAACAGAATCGGCATTAGAATGAAAAATTGAGCCATGAAATGGGATCTAATCGACAGAGACAGCCATTAATTAAGCCCAGCCATTAATTAAGCCCACTCGCCAGGACCCAAACCACCATAACATGATTCGATAAATTGGGGTCACACGAAATCAATTGAGATACGAAATAAGCAGCAAGATACAACAATCCAACGCATGAACAGAATTTCAGAACATGGAGAGAAACTCACCTTGGGCTTCAGATCGGAGGCGTAGTCGAACTTCCAGTCCCGGTAATAAGAAAATGCCGGCGAATGGGTTCGACCTAGAAGATCAACGCAATCCGAATTGGAAGAATGGGAATGGAGGGAAGGGGCGGTGGTAGACATGCCGGGGAACTCATGGTGGTCCGGCGACCAGCGAGAAACGGGGTCATTGAGACCGCCCCGCCATTGGAGGAGGAAAGCGAAGCAGGCAAGAGTCAAGGGGAGAAGAGTTAGGAGCAGAAGGAGGCGCGAAGCAAAAGTGTGAGAGGAAGAAGGAGATTGAGAAGAAGATGTGGGTCTTAGAGAAGAATATTGACCCGCCATGTGTAGTTGAGTTGCAGGAACTGGAAGAGAGAGAGAGAGAGAGAATGGGAGAATTTAGAGTGAGAAATTGAAGAGCCCAGGAAGGAAGGATGGTATCTAGAACCGTTTTGTCGTTAGGTGTTAATGGCCGATTTCAGTTTTTTAATTTTCTTACAAGCAATCTCAAGATGATGATTGGTCTGTCGTTAGGTAGACAGACCAATCATCATCTTCCTTTTCTTTTCTTTTCTTTTCTTTTCTTTTTTTTTTCTTTTTTTCCTCTAGGTTGTTTCAATTTATTCTTTGATATTTTAACATTTTTATATTATGCTATTCTATTTTTTTTTAAATAATGTTAAAATTAGTTAATTAGCAAATATATATTTTTGGTCTCTCCAATTCGGAGTTAGTAGTTTTGGTCTCTCGGATTTGGAGTTAGTGTTTATTTAATCTCTAAAGTTTGAAAAAAAAAATCACCGCCAATCATAGATCTAACTGTGTAATTGAATGAGGATATAACAGTCCAAGCCGAGAATTCAGACCAAGATTCGGAATCCGGATTCAACACTTAATTGTACACTTAATTGCCTCTGACATTACCCTACATCCCCTGAAAGTCACTCGACTCAAGATTGGCAAGCACACTTAACTTTGAAGTTCTTATGATCGTGTCACCAAAAAGGAAAGTGTACATTGTTGGTATAGGTAGTGACTTTCAATTCTTTTAAGTCTTTCTTAATTATGCATCTATGATCTTATGATCTCTCTCATTCAAATGTGGTATCGATTCATTCATGTACCCCTCCTTTTTACTCCGGCGTCACAGAAGAACAAGGACGTTTGTACAATGAATGTTTCTCATTCAACTAGATGATCAAGACTTGTTCCTCGTCCAAATATGAACGGAGGAACTCATTCTCCCTTCTAGATTTAGATGAAGAACGACCTCGATCCCTCATTCTAGATAGATCATGACATTAAAGGCTTTCAACAATGGTGGAAGATTAGAGAAGAGGGAGAAGAGCGAGTTTTGTCGGAGAAGAGAAGAGGGAAGGACATGAGTGTCTACTCATGGAAAAAAAGTAATTATTAAACTAATCATATTTTTCAAAATCAATAAATCACATTATTTACTGTTAGTTAACTAATAGTCAAAGTAGCTCGGGAATCATTTAGAACATTTTTCTCACACTTTAGGTACTAAAAGGGTCTCTTTTTAAACTTTGGGGATCAAAATAGACACCAACTCTAAACTTCACGACCAAAATTGTATTTTGCCCCTATATGACATGATACTAGCTAGTCTGGCAAAAATTCAAAAAAGTAATTAAACCACACTTTTGCAAATAAATAAATAAACCACCCAAAAGAATATATGGCGAAATTTCAAATAATTCAATTTAGAGAAAGAATTAGTAATTTTTCTCTCGACGTGATGTCTTTTCTAAATTTCTACCCATTCATTACATATATCATATAATATAAGTTTAGGATAATTTTAACCTTAAAAAAAATATAAACATTGTACACTAAATTAAATTTTTTTAATGAAAATCTGAATTGAAAAAATATCCATTTTCTTTTTCAATTTCCGTTTCATCGTCAATCTCTGAATGAAGTAAAAGTTCAAAAAGAAAAAGAAAAACTTAATTTTCCATGTAACATCAATGACACCTCATTAAACAAGGTAATATAGTCAACAAAAAGAAAAATAATAATGTATACGTATCTGTCATTAGGGAAAAAAAGGAAATGTTTTAGAGTATTTCAAGAAACATTCTAAAAAATGTAAGAGAATATTTGACAACAAATGCTTATTTGTTAACAAATTTTTGTTGAGTACAATATTGTTTATATTTTAGCCAAATTAAAAAATATAAAACTTTTATTTTATATTTTAATTCAACTAAAATTTTAGAAGTATTTGAAATAATAAAAATGAAATTAAAAAGTTGTTAGAAAGAGTTTTATGTTTTAAAATTAAATTAGTATCACATGAATCTAAATATGATTTAAAACAATTTAGTAATTAAATTACTTACTGCTTTTTCTTTAGAATATTACATTTAAAATAAGGAATCTGAATTCAAACTTATGGCACCATACCAAGGAAGTACATATTGCGTACTTGAACTAAGTTATCATATTAAAAATCATTTTTATTAATAATTTCTGATAAAGAATAAAACAAATTGAACACTGAAAAAAAAGTGATATGTTTTCTTTTATGTTATGTGTTTTCTGATACAAATTGAAAAATTCCCACAGGATAAAAGGTTACCCAATTTTTTTCCTAGTATATATATCTCAATTTTTTTATATCATTTTTCAATCTAAGACGAGCTAGAGAGACAATTTTTCTTCGTTCCATCCTTTTTTTCAAATACTTTTGGAGTAAAATAAATTTGGGAATTGAATCTTCCATCTAAGGGAGGAGCAATATATCTTAACTACCGAATTACGTTCATGTTGGTCTTTTTTACTTCATCCTTCATATTAATTCTTTAATTCACTTGATAAGATAAACTAAATTAAGTTAAAATTATAAATTACTGGAAGAAATATTCTTCGATTTAGAAATTTCAAATATTAATTTTGGTAATCGAATTCAAAAGATGATATTTAATAATTAAATTTCGTCAAACATGTTTGTGATGATATAATTTGCTTATACGACTGAAAAATTAACGGTCCTATATAATTTCCCCTTCTACAAAAAATTTTCACATACAAACCACAATATACAAATAACGAAGAAAACGGTAAAGAATAAGAAAACGACAAATACTAGTTTATCAGAGCTACGTCCAGTCTTCCACTCAGATGTGGGTAATACTAATAATCGTTTAAGGATTGGATATAAAACTCTCCCAAAAAATATCCCCTAGAGGTCCCGACAAAAGCCCCCTAGCTTCTAACTATTTTACACAATTAATACTTAGGTATAGGAATGAAAAACACAATAGATCAAGATACAATTACCCCAATAAAAGCGATCTTGATCTCTCCTAATGTCTCTGCCAATACCCAAGCCGCTGCCACAAAAACTACTACCAAAAAACCCCAATTTGGCTGCCCTTAAAATTCTGATGACTACTCCCCACAAAACATAAAACTCATATATATATGAGTATATGAAATCTAAAAATAAAGGTTTGGGCTTTTCGCCCATCATTTGTTTTCACCCATTCCTTTTATTTATTTACTTTATTTTGTAATAAAACTAATGATGCTAAACATGTGGCTGACTTGTTCTTCAGGGATGTAGTTAAATTACATGGCATTCCTAGAAGTATTGTTAGTGATAGAGATGTTAAATTTCTAAGTCACTTTTGGAGAATACTGTGGGGAAAATTATGCACTAAATTAGTTTACTCTACTACATGTCATCCTCAAACTAAGGTAGTTAATAGAACAATGGTGACAATGCTTAGGGCTATAATTGATAGAAACATCAAAAGTTGGAAGGATTGTTTACCATTCATTGAATTCGCATATAATAGGGTTGTCCATAGTGTCACTAGATGTACTCCTTTTGAGATTGTTTATGGATTTAATCCTTTATCACCACTTGATTTATTACCTTTGCCTTTTAACGAGGTTGTGAATTTTCAAGCTGACAAAAAGGCAACAGCCATTTAGGAGCTACATAAAGAGGTTAAGGAAAGGATTGAGAAACAAAACACTAAAGTAGCTGCGAGAGTCAATCAACACCGAAAGCCTATTGTATTCAAAGAGGGAGATTGGGTCTGGGTTCACTTTCGAAAGGAACGATTCCCACATCAGCGAGATTCTAAGTTAAACCCAAGGGGAGATGGACCTTTCCAAGTGTTGAAGAAAATCAATGACAATGCCTATCAAATTGACCTCCAAGGTAAGTATGGCGTGAGTGCTACTTTTAATGTGTCTGACTTGACTCCTTTTGATGTAGGTGACGATTTTGATTCGAGGACGAATCCTTCGAAAGGGGGAGAAGATGATATGAGCCAAGATGCATTAGCCTTGCCGCCAGGACCAATCACTCGTTCAAGGGCTACACAGTTACAACTAGCATTTGATTATAGCATCCGAACAGTAGCGAGCTCCACTAATAGACATCAAGAGGATAAAGATGAGAAAAAACTTTATTCATGGTACCAAATGAATATACAAGAAGATGATGAAGCCAAATGAAGACACGGGAATAAGATAAAGAAACTTTGTATTAAAAAGGTTAATTTTTTTTAATTGTTATTTATTTTATTTTAGGCCTTTTATATTTTTAGCACAATGATGTGGGCATTGAATTTATTAATTTTTAATTTAACTATGTTACTTTTAATTGGGGGTAGTATAGTCTTTTAGCTTCTTTTAAGATTATGGATTTAATCTTGTGAACAGAACGATCAATGAATAAAGAATGAATTTGGAGTGTTTTAGCGTGATGACTAAGAGTTTATAAACTTTGCAATTCTTGATCTAGGTTGCAAACCCAGAACATTCAAGCTAGGTTTGATCAACCTTCTTGTGGAGTGTTCAACCTTGAATAGGAAACTAGTTCTCCTTACCTCTTGGTCTTCGATCATCAAGGTAATCTTCGTCTAATCTTTCCTTGGGATTGGCTATTTGACCTGAGTTTTATGAAATTGACAGTTAGGGGTCCTCCTTAGGTGAAATGGTTCTTTATCTGTAATTTTCTAGGTTTCATATCATAAGGTCTTGCCCTGAACCATCTGCAGATACCCTCTACATCCTCTGTCTCTCAAATCCCCTGGCAACCTCAAACTCAGACAAATAAACAGAAGATCTCTTGTGGCCTGTTACCACAACCCTGAATTCCCTTTTAAGCTTCCAGCAACCCCCAACAAACTCACTGTTGTAGCCATCCTCGTCTAGCTTCCCTGCACATAACAAATTAAATCTGAAGATAGGAATATACCTGACGCCTCGTAGCACTAACTCGGCACCTTCGCCTGTCTTCAAACAAACATCTCCAATTCCTCTGAATTTGGAGATACTCTCATTCCCCATCTTCACTAAGCCATAATCACCTATAGCAAGAGATGAGAACCAAAGTCTGTCTGAAGCAACATGCGCTGATGTTGCAGTGTCCACTACCCACTGGTCTACAGACATGTTCCTCTGAACACAAGCCAAAAACTATCCAATCTGTTCTTCTCCTGTTACAACGTCTATAGTATTGTTCCCCTTCTCAAAATCTTCTTTAAATTTCCTGCAAAAACGTTTAACGTACTCCTTCTTGTGGCAATAAAAACACTCCACTTCCCACTGGAACTCCCACTGCCCCTACTATATCTATGTTGTTGCTTCCCATTGTAATTCATCTTTGCATTTCTTTGTTCTGAGCTACCAAAGCTGATTCAACCCTGTTCTCTACCCCTGAAGTAGATGCAAACATTTATGGAAAATATACATACATGCGTAGCGGAAGCAAGCAAGGATCGAAATAACAATCTAGATGCATAATACAATCTAGGATTAAAAATGCATGATCATACATTATGATGCTTAGAGAAAAGTAGAGAAAAATACATACCTTTGTAGCTTTTCAAATTTCTTCAAATAGCTCTAATGAGGACCACCAAGAGATCTTCCTAGCTATTCTCAAGGCTTGGAATAGAGTAGTGAGGCTCTTTTTAGAGAATGAAAAATTTGAGAGAAATATGGAGCTAAAATGAGTTATGTAAACTTTTTGAAAAACATCGAATGACCAAAGGTTCCAAGAGTTTTCAATGTTTGAACAAAAGTCTTCTTAAATAGGCAAATTACATGCAACTCTTGCATGTCAAAGTTCACCAAAAGCTTACAACACATATTTCACTCATGC